GGCCCTAAAGCTTAGTGCTGACAAAAGAAATTGCCAGGGATATGAAGCAACTTTCCAGTCATGGATCCAGTGCTACTACATGTCAGACCCAGTGCCACACCTTGGAGAGACAGAAGAGGAGGAGAAATGGTCCCTGCCTTCCATCACATCAATTATGATATTGATAAAACAACAAAACAAGTAAACACAAAATCAGTTGTGCACTTTTTATTTTATTTTTAAATTAATTAATTAATATTGGTTTTTAGATTCTAAGATGTTGTTGTGGAGCAGTTGGGGGAAGGGGGTGAGGGGAATGTGGAGGGGATAGGATGTGAGGAAGAGGAAGGGGGGGCATGGTTGAGGCCCAAGGCACCACCTTCATTCTGACAGGGTTGCCCAGGGGGCTTCCAGCAGTCACTCGGCCATGGCTTGTCTGGATGTAGATGTCAGGATGGCGTGTCTGAGGCCCTCAGCACCCCCACAACTTGGGAGCCCAGGGTGCTTCCAGCAGCAGCCTGGTGGTCATTGCTGGGCTGGATGCAAACATTGGCAGGGCATGGCTGAGGCCCATGGCCCCCCACCACCCTGGCTTGGGAGCTTGGGGCACTTCTAGTGGTGGCCTCATTGTCATCAATGTGCTAGATGCAATGGGGGTTGTGTCTGAGGCCCGCAGCCTCTCACCACCCTGGTTAGGGAGACCAGGGCACTTCTGGCAGCGGCCTGGTGGTTGTTGCTGGGCTGGATGTGAATGTTGGGGGGTGTGGCTGAGGCCCTCAGCCCCTTACTGCCCACCTCAGGAGCCCAGGATGCTTCCTGAAGTAGCCTGGTGGTTGTCACTGGGTTGGGTGTGGCCATTGGGGGTATAGGGATGAGGCCCTTGGCATCCCCCAACCTTGGTTTGGGAGCCTGGGGGCTTCTGGTCTTTCTAGGTTTTATAGGTGTTCTTTGGTGGTGTTGGACCTTTACTGGTTTGATCTGTGGGTTATTTGTATTTCCTTTCAGTTCTGTGTTGGATTATTTGCTATTCCCACCACTTAAACTCTGCACTGGAACTAATCTGTCATTCTTTGGTTACTTCTAAAATGGGAGAACTTCTCTGGGGACCAGCACTTGAGCCCTGTGGTTGAGCTAAATTGCTGCTTTGCTACTGATTCTCTGGGGAAGGCTTTTTGTGCAGCTCAGGATGTAACTGTTGACCTTGTAAGTACTTCTTGGTCTTGTGAGGTCTGATATACCTGGGTTGTGTGGAAACTGGTCTGGGCCTGAGTCTTTTCAGCAAACTGCAACCCCTGCTGTTTTGTGTTCCTGACCAGTCTCCACTGAGTGGTGCTGTGCTGACTAGAGGGAGATCAGCTGTCCATGCTGTGCCCCAGTGTTCCCCTGGTGGGCCTGTCTCCCACATCCCCCCCACTCCAAACACTTCTCATGGGGTGGGCCATCAGCTAGTCCCTTGTAATGACTCACCAGCCTTTGAGTGGCTCCTTTTTTCAGTTGTTTGTGGCCCCTTGCTCCTATGTGGGTCCACAGGAACCCTGTCAGTGGTCTTGCTGGCCCGGGGGCCACCGAGGCCCTCTTCTCCCCTGCAGCCTCCAAGCAACTTCATACAAAGCACTCAGCAGTGGCTTTTGCCAGCTCTTGCTCCGTGTGCTCACTAAGGCCAGCCTTGAAGTGGTCGAGGCTTGAAACAGACAGAGCAGTCCTTTCTTTCTCTCATTGTGGCTTCTCCCACCTTCATGAACTTTGTAGGTCCCTCCTCCTCTTCCCTTGAGCTCTAGCGGCCCCAGCTTGGCAGTCATTGCTTTTTAACAGCTATAAATTGGTTGATTGTGGGAGAGGGTGACTCTAGGGGCTGTCTATTCTGACATCTTGACCAGAAGTCCCATTTGTGTACTTTTTAAAATCCACTATTTTGTTCATATTTCCTCTTGAACATTCATTATATTGCAGAATAATTTTTTTAATTTTAATTTTAAGGTTTTTTTAATTGAATCATAATTGATTATATATATTTTGCTGATTCGATGCTGACATCTATTGATCAAATCAATATTAATAGTATGTATATTGTTAAAAATTGTATTTATTCTTTATGCCCCTTGTCCAATCTCTCCCTATCCCCCTCTCACTCCCCCCTCCCATCACTGATAGCCCTAGATTTCTTCTCTCCCTCTGAAAGAGTAATGGTTACTCTGTTGACTTGTTGCCTAGATGATCTGTCCAATGCCGAGAGGTGTGTTCAGGTCCCCCAATATTACCATAGAGCAGATGCTTCTTCTGTCACTCTGGAATGGTCTTTGTGGAGAGAGACATCCTCTTCTTTTCTTTGGTCTCTGCTGGTGACTCTCCTTGTGTCAATGTACTCCAGTGGCTGGTGGACCATCTGCGTGGTGGTTGTGCTGTCTAGCCACTTTTGTGGCAGCTGTGGTGGCTGTGGTGGGCCACCCACATGGATGTGATGTTTTTGGCATGCTCCTTGGTGCTGGTGGTGTGCCTGGTTGTGGGAGGGGTTTGGTCCCCAGCTCGATGTCCTGGGCCTCTGGGTGGGGCCCCAAGGCTCTGGTGGTGTATGTGGTTGTGGGTGGCGGGTCCAGTCCCCGGCTCCAAGCCTCAGACCCCCTGGTGGGTCCAAAGGCGCTGGTGGTGTGCCTGGGCCAGAACTAATTTTTTGTCCTTTGCTTACTTCTGAAATGGGGGGACTTCTGGTGGGGACCAGTACCTTGAGCTGTGTGGTTGAGCTAAATTGCTGCTTTGCTATTGTTTCCCTAGGGATGGCTTTTTGTGCAGCTCAGGGTTTAAGGTTTAATGGTTGACCTTACAGGTACTTCCAGCTCTCCAGAGACCAGGTGCACTTGGGTTGTGTAGAAACTCTGATCTGGGCCTGAGTTTTTTCATCAAGCTGCACCCCACACAACTCTGCATTCCTGACCAGTCTCCTCTGAGTGGTCCTGCACTGACTGGGGGCAGATTGGCTGTCCTTGCTGTGCCCCAGTGTTCTCCTGGTGGGCCCGTCTCCCCCACCGCCCATGCTCCAAACACTTCCCATAGTACGGGCCCTGAGCCGGTCCCTTGCAATGACTCATCAGCCTCTGAGTGGCTCCCTTTTTTCAGTTGTTGTGGCTCCTTGCTCCTGCATGGGTCCATGGGAACCCTATTAGTGGTCTTGCTGTCCTGGGGACCACCAAGGCCCTCTTCTCCCCTGTTGCCTCCCAGCAACTCCATCTCAAGGGCTCAGCTGTGGCTTTTGCCGGCTGCTGCTCTGTGTGCTCAGCAGCTCCAGGCTTAAAGTGGCCATGGCCTGAAACACTCCAAGCAGTTTTTTTCTTTCTCTCATCGTGGTTTCTCCCACCTTCATGAACTCCATAGGTATCTCCTCCATTTCCCCTGAGCTCCAGAAGCCCTAGCTTGGCTGTTGTTACATTTTTATAGTTGTAAATTGGTTGATTTATGGGAGAAAGTGATGCTGGGGACCGTCTGTTCTGCCATGTTGACCAGAACTCTTGCAAAATAAATTCTGTTCACACCACGTAGCATGTAATCTGAGCTCCTCAAAAGGATAAAATTGTTGCCATGAATGGGAAGAAACTCCAGCAATATCTTTCTAATTCTTCATACTTTAAATAATGTGAGAGTTCAGGAATGACTCTAATTCTGGAACGTTAAGCATAACAACATCAGGGTGATTTGGGAAAGTCCTTTCTAGTAGCCTTAAAAATGCACACAAGCAGTAGAGGCTGGCCTCCCTGCCTCCTCTGGGGCCAGCCCCACAGAGTGGGGAGGCCTCAGTAGGGCTTTGATGAGTGGGCCTGCCCTTGTTTCTGGTGTTGGCTCTGGCTGGAATTGCTTCAGCATAATTCACAACCAATTGATCTTGTCAGGCAGGCTGTTGACTCCAGCTACAGCTCAGATGCCATCATTACAAATAACCATCCCAATGAGCCTTTCTCTCAGTGGTTCACCCATTCACTTCAAAATGTGAGTAAAATATTTCAATTTGGACAAAAGATGGGCAATATGTTTTCTCTGAAAAAAGTTATAACACTCAAAGTGTTTATATATATACATTTTAGTAGAGTTTTCAAAAATAGAAAATTCAATTCTTGTGTATGAAGGAGTTATAAAAAAAAAACCCTAAGAATATAAAGTATTTATCAAGTACTCATTTATGAATAAAGCTTGTTAATTAAGAAAAAAACCCATAATGGTCATTAGGAAAAAAAATCATTCTTTTTCCCCCTGACCATTATCACGCTTTGTCTGCTGAACAGTGGGAGTGTGAATGTGTCTACCTGTGCAGAGGAGGGAAGATGAGCAGGTGGGTTTGTGGGAGAACACAGGAGAGTGTGGCTGAGTGGGTGCGAGTCACCGGGCCAGTGTGGGAGGAGGCTAGGCCAGCCAGACAGCAGGGAGGAGGAGGGCAGGTGCATGTGGGCGGGAGGAGAAAACAGCACAAAGCCACTTCGCATATGCGAACGTCTTAAGGAAATATTCACAGGACTGTACAAATGAGCATTAGAAAACAATTAGCAATTCTAGTCAAAAGAGGAAAAGCAAAGCTTTGTGGATAATGGCATGTTACAGATAGTCGTTTTGAAATTGAAAATTATGTTTTTCAGAATTATCTATGTGTTTTTTAGCCTGATAATTGGTGGTGAACCTGCCAATGTCATTGACAAAGAATGTTTCAGCTTATGCATAGGTTTAAGAGTGATCTCAGAGTTGCCCCTGTAAGCAAGAGTGGCCAGAGGCAGAGCAGAGGAATGAGTTGAACGCTCATGGATGAGCTTAAACTTTTCATCTAAAATGATGTTGGAGTGAGCAGGACTGAAGCCGTGTTGGGACCTTAAGCTGCCTGGTCTGCAGAGGCGGGGGGGGGGGGGTTTTTAAAAGGACAGTTTTTTTCTCTCCACTCTTGCTTCCCATCCCCTAACTTTCTTATCTCACTCGCTAAGTAGGAAAACAAGGCCAAGAAGCTAATTAGTACTTTGCAAAGCTAACAGTTCTTTCTTTGAGATTTGCAGAGTTTTGAGAAATGATCGGGGCCAAATGACTGGAAGCTGACCTTGGGCACTAGCCAAGTACACTGGCACAAATCAAAATCTTGCAGGGTCCTGAGATAACAGCGAAGATGAGAACAGAAACCAGATGAGGCCTTGGTGAGACCTTGTACCTGGCTCACAGACACGGACCCCTCGTAACTCATATCTCCTGCTCTCCTGCTTTTCACCTCCCACATTCCATTCCCTCAACCCTTCCTTTAAAAACCCCTAAGTAAATGTAAATCTTTGAGATGCGGTGGCCTACCACCTCCTTCAGCTGAATACATCTGCTTTTCTAACACCAACCATTTGACTTCTGAGTTTTTTTCTTTCCTTTTCAAAGGGGCAGCCGGACCGGAGTCCGGTAACAATGAGACCTACAACCCTAGGAAGAAAGGGGTACTTTTCTTTCCCTATCTGTTAGCCAAAGGAATTTATTTACATTGTTTCTTTTGTAAGTATAAATGGGATTTTTTAAAAAATCTACATTAAAGTCTGAAAGTGCAGCATAGACTCATATAACATTAGAGTAAAAAGGAATCATAGAGAGTATCTTGATGAACTCCCACATTTTGAAGAATGAATTAACTGAGGCTCAGAGAACTTAAAAAGATTTGGCCATGGGGTGGGGAGTCTATAAAGTCTAATCAGTCAATCAATCAGCAAACATGGGTGGGAAACAAGGGCTCCGGCCCCCACCCACAGCAGCCTCCTGGGATCAATGTGTTGTGGGGAACTTGGAGGTAGAAGCTGGGAAGCATTCATGACTCCACGGAGAAGTGAGGAACTCATGGGCTGGGTGCAGACTAGAAGGAGCCCCACTCCGGTATGACTATATATATCCATGGCCAGCTGGGAGGGGGATTGGGGACACCTAGTTCACTGTGTAACTCTGTGAGCTTCCTGGCTGGAAAGTGGCCTTATCGGACCATAGCTTAGCCATGGAGTTCATATCCTGTTTCTACTAGTCTCAGTCTGTGTTTTCCCTTTGAGCTAATTCAGATCTGTTGAGCTTGTTTCTTGCTAAACTACGCAGAAACCCAAAGTCATCTTCATGAGCAATTGGGAACCAATTCTGTGGATTTTAGCTCAACCCTACTGAATTTTAAGGTAAAATATTGGAATGTAATGAAAGACTCCCTGGAGGTAGAGGACAGGGTCCTCCTTTCTACTGCTCTAAGCACTTGGAATAACCATTTGAGAAGCACTGCCAGGAATGCTCTGACGTGGTCCTCTCACACCGAAGAAGGGAAGTTCTTGTGTCCAGCAGCATGCAGGTATAGTGATGCCATTGGAGCCACTCAGGCCCCGTAGATGTGCCTCAGCTCACCCAGGCTCACTGCTGAAATGTATGTCAGCTAGCAAGAAAAAGCAAACCCCAGGATCTAGAATCAGAAAACCTAGGTTCAAATGCCACTTCTGTCACAGGCTTTAAGGTGCTAGACGAGGCTCTTAACCTGACTGTGAAAGTATAGCTCCTGTCACTCTATGGGTCCTCAGGGGATATGTGACTGATAGAACTGGCTAGGCAGGCTTCCACTTCCTCCCACGTGCTACCCAAGGATCTCACCAAAGCTGGGCCCTTGGTGGAAGGTGGAAGTGTGAACTTCTTACAGACAGAGGTGGTAAGAGTCCTCCCTGCTACAATCTTAAATCAAGATATTTAAGTCCTCTAAGCTCAATTGCTTCTGAAGAAGAATGGGACTCATAATAACAACACCTCCCTAAGAAGGTTGTTTTGAGGATTAAAGGGGTTAATGTATGGGAAAACATTGTGTAAATAGATCTCTTATACAACAATAATTGCCATTTTTATAATATCCAGCTTATGAACTGCTTTGTATCATAGATTTATATGAAGTTGGTTTCCATTAATACCTGGAACACCTAATTTTCTAAAATGGTTCCAGGACACAGAAAGTTTCTCTCTTTAATCATACCATAAGTAGACCGAAAGAAAAATACACAGCTATACAGTTCTTAGCGGATTTCATAACATTGAGAATACATTCCCTAAACCCTGCTGAAGTTATAATAAAGTTATCAAAACTTAGGAAGTTAATAGGAATTTACCATTTCCAATTCTTGTGAAAATGGGGATTCTACTTAGAGAAGAGAATTTTTTAATTTCAGTGGATTCTGGGAAGATGACAGTGGCAGCAGCATATTTTAAAATCCACATCTTAACATAAAAACACACAGAGTAACTACTTAACAAAATCAAGAGCCCATAGACAACACTCACAATGACACTAGATTACAAGACCTGAGTTGTATCAGCATCTGAACAGGAGAAAGCATAGAGAAGCAATAAAACTTGACAGACTTTGACAGACTTGAGAATGGGAAAAGCCTAAAATAGCAACAGTTATCTACTGGAAATTCTGTGGGCAGGTTTTGCCCAATCCAGAGATTGTGAGTGCAATAGTTCTGTTATGAAGACTGTGAGCTCCTAAGCAGTCTAGATTCTATGAACTTTCTCTAGAAACTGATATTCCAAAGCTCCCTTACAGGATACAGCACCACACTGAAGAGAAATGCTGAGTGGAATCAAAACTGACCTGAACAGAGAAAATAGAACAAGGAATAAAGGAGGCCCAGATAACAGTGAGGGAAGGGAACAGAGCCAAGGAATCTTACAACACTACTTAAAAAAAGAGAATTTGTTAAGTTAGAAAAGCTACCCCCAAACACATGTTCTGCTAAAAGTTCTGGAAAATGATTTTCACATAAAAATGAAAACAGAAAAGTATCGAGGCTAAATCTCTGTGAGAAGATGATGTCTCCTTTACCCATCCAATGCCAAAGGATGGATGCAGAGACACGAGGTACAGCAAAGCAAGACTTTAATAATGGCTTTGCAAGCCTGGGTGTCTGTGAATGGGACAGGCATGCCGGAAACGGTTACATCCAGCAATTTATTCCCTAGTGTGCGAGTCCCTCCCCCCCAGTTCCTCATTGGCTGAGTACTATAGGATGCACAATCTTCCTGAACGATGCCTAAGATTTATTATCCCCTTGCAAGGAATTCCTTTATCTGGGGGCTCAGGACAAAGTCATGAAAAAGGCCTACTAAAGCCCTATGAAGGGAGAAACACCAGGGAATGAAGAGAACAAAAGGGGCTAGTAACTAATTACCATCTCAATAAAACACCCTCAGATAAGCCATTTTTGAAAATGAACCACTTAGGTTATTTTCTTACAATTTCTTGAAAAGTTATTTCTTAAAAAAAAAGAAGGCAGAATAATATCCCTACACCAGAAAGACATGCTCATAGAACAAATCAAAACTACAACTTTTATTCCAAAGGAAGCTAAAATACATTAAGAAAATGATACAAGATATGAAAACATTAATCAAATTTTAAAAACTTAGAAATGAGGTGGCAGAACTTGAGACAATTAGAAATAAAAGAAAAATCATTTCAGAAATGAAGTGAAGCTAGAAGGAAAAAAAGAGCAAACAAAATAAAGCACTATGGCTTAAGAGAAATAAAAGATAAAGAAGGAAAAAAATTTTAAATCAAAAATAAAAAAATTTGAGAGAAAGTGATAAAAACTAAAGATAGACAAGGAACATTCAACCACAGATAATCGGAATCTCTGAGGAAGAAAATCAAAACAAGAAAACAAAAATACTAAACCAATAATTAAAGAAACGTTTCCTTAAATAAAAAAATGTGATGCTACATGTTGAAAAAGCACACTCCATAGCTGAGAATATTGACCCAGAACAACCAACACCAAGACATATATCTAGTAAAATGAATGACTTTAAAGAAAAAGAAAACGTTCCAATGGATATCAAACTAGCGAGTCAAAACCAGCAAGTAATTTATATGGGTAAGAAAATTAGATAATTGTCATTTTTTTTGACAACAGTACTTTATTTCAAAAGAAAATGGAATAACATACTTAAAAGTCTGAAGAAATAAAGCGTGAACTGACATTAAAAGGTTCAACTATAAAAGGCACAGCACAAGTTATTAATACACAAGAACTCAGAGAATATTGTTCTCATTAGCCCTTCCTGAAGAATCTACCGGAGAATGAATTTCAGGTAATTAAAATGATTAGAAAGACATCAATATAAAAACTGGTGGTATACATTAAAGACATACTAACCTGAAGAGCTAATACTAAATGAGAATTAAAAGAGAGCATAATATGTAAAAGCTATATTCTCATATAATGCAGATAGTGCAGATCTAAAAAATGGGGTGATAGAGGGGAGAGCATATGAAAAAATATTTTCAGCTATTCTTTGTAATTATGGTGGTCGTAATATGTGTATTGTTATTCTGAACCTGTTGTGTGTGTGATGTGGAATAAAGTAAACGAGTAATTATGATATTCTAATTCCATTTGTTCCGGTTTGAATGTTGTATCCCCTGAAAATTCATATGTTGAAACTTTAACCCCCAAGGTAATTGTAGTAGGAGATGGGGCCTTCTGGGAAGTGATTGGGTTATGAGCACAGAGCCCTCATGAATGGGATGACACCTTATATAAGATGCCCAAGGAAGCTTGTTCACCCTTTCCTCTGTATGAGGACACAGTGAGAAGGAGCCATCTATGAACAAGGAAACAAGCCCTCGTCAGACACTGGATCTACTGGTGCCTTGATCTTAGACTTCCCAGCCTCTAGAACTGTCAGAAATAAATTTATGTTGTTCATAAGCTACACAATTTATGGCATTTTGTTATAGCAGCCCAATAGATTAAAACACTGTTGTCTATTGTATCCTTGGGAACTAGGAATCTTGACATGAAGGGAAAAATATTCAGATGTAGTATTAAAAGGACCAAGTAAAAAAAAACCCCATAGTACTGAATTTTAATTGGAAATATCAATATTGTCATTAGGTATTTTATCTTTAAAATTATATCCATACACATACTTATCAATAGATAGATTTTCTAGCTCTACAACTGAAAAGTCCCAGAAACAATAATCAACCCAGTAGCACTAAGCATTAGCAGCCAGATTGTGATCTTGAAATCAT